CATGGACCTTTAACCCGTACACGATAGTTGACCATCACGGTACCATTAGGAAATAACATAAGAAAAACACTTCTGAAAATCAGGAATCACTAAGATGAAAACAGAAGTTGAAAGCGGTATGTTAAAACAGTGATCATGATCGCAAATAGTATTATCACGGCTTTGGAACGCTTGAGAAAGGTTTTATTGATAGAATTTTATGAATTAAACAGAAAAGTCATAATCTTACCTGAAGGGTGAATCGTGTATTTGAGCAACTTTACTATTTACAAAACAGCTGTTTGGAGTCCATAAACGATCGAGAACTTGATGATTCAGGGAGAGATTCCCTGGAAAGGGAGTTTTTGAACGAGATGGCTAACAGAATAATGTGAATTGATAAATTATAGAGGCTTCAATACTTTTTGAAACTCTCTGGAGACCCATCAGGGAATGGGCAGTGGAGGCCCATAGCGTTATACTTTACTGCACGCATTGGACGAGTTTTTCTGTACTGTTTCTATCGCTATGAAATTGAAACGTAGAGAGGGTGTGATGTAAGAGAGCGCAGACGAAACGACAAAGTAAAGGGCCAGCTGTCCTGAGTCCATAGGAGGGCAAGGTGCTGTTGAGTTGGAGGGAGAGTATTCATACTGCTACAGCTTAATTACTTAGTTTTTCTCGTGAACCTCTGGCTACACAGCTACTTTCCGATTCTCGATTGTCACCCGATCTCCACTCCCATGAAAGGAGTTTGTGGAATCACAAGCTTCTTATGATGTCCCCAATACAGGCAACTATGTCTGCTTCATTTAGAGGCTACGTCAAGCCTAGTTGTCACCTAGTTTTATTGAAATCTTCGAAATTGCAGAAAAGCGATAGGAACAGTAATAATACAGTGTTGGTTTACCTTTACATGGTGATAGGCGTTCGAAATTCAGCGCTGGATCAAGCCACTTTTCTGTGATATAGATGTCCATTTCGAAGTCGTTGGTAAGCTCATCAATTGACGTAATCGCCTGGATCCAGATCTCCACATAAACGGTCATACCTTCGTCTTCTGCAATGGATGATAAGAAGTTAACTCGAATCTCTGGTGAGAAATACTTCCGATTGCTGCAGTTTGCGAGCTTTTAATTCTCTTTCTGTTGTAAATTTTTCTATCGTGGACGGTTCTGCATCACTTTTTGGAGACCTTAGAGAACGGACGTCTGCGAAGCCTATGCCAGCATCTCCCCACTTGTGAAGATTGTAAGACGACAATGCAAATTTTCGCAAAACTAAGTGATGTTTGAACCCTTGCCAAAAGTTATTCCAAAGGCACCTTAATCGTTCATGTGGGCACTCCCAAACGAGCACTAGTTGCTTTTCTAAGGTAGTATAGACTTTTTGTGTGCTCAGAAACAAAGAGTTACAGTGTGTAGTGAAGAAAAAACAGCAAAGGAGACCTATGGTGAAGGAAACTGACGTGGTATTCGAAACTTATTGTATCCGGTGCCATTGAGAAGCCGATCTATGACGTCGGTATCCCTTGTGCA